CAGAAGAAAAGAGTGCTCTATCCTGCTGAAATGCTGCTGAAAATGGGTTTTCTCTTGTTGGACAAACACACATTGGATCTTTGAATATTTTCTCACATCAAATGAGGTTTTGATGTTGAGTCACAGAAATATAGTTCGATAGATTTTTTTTTACTGTAGACAGTGGCCCTGTTGGTGTGGGCGGGAGTATGACTTTGGTTTTTCTTCCATATGTTTCTGGTCCTGCTCATTCTGTCTACAATGTAGTTTGAGTAAAGTTTGACTGAATGTCCTGTATTGACCTCTGACCCCTCAGGTTTCTCAATGGGTGTCATCAGTGAATGGCAGTTCTGATGTTCTGGGTTACGCGCTGTGGAAGCCAGTGGCGTACCGTCAGGCACGGCCGGCTCTGGAAGATTCCACGCCATGCCGTCACTCGGTGCCGCGGGCTCAGAGTGGGTCGACGGTGACGGCTTCGTCCGGTCTGATCCGAGGCTTCTTCTCAGATCCAAAGAGCATGGCACTGAACGTGAGCTTTGGCCTGGCGGGGGAACCATTCTACAACGTCACACGCTTCCTCAGCTGGTAGGCTTGTTGTTATTTCTTTGTTGTTTTATCTCTTACTCTCAGCCGATCAGCTCTCATCTCCTCCTTACTCCTCCAGGACACTGTTGGTGGGTGTTGGGTCACCGCCTGTTGACTCCTTCTCTCCTCTGGTTGTTGCCATCATGGCAGTTGGTCTGGGAATTCCCATGATCATCCTGCTGGTTGGTGGAATCTGGCTCTGCATCCGTAAAAGCAAGGGAGCATCCTCAGCCTCCTACGAGCCAATCAACTAATCATTTCACTGCGTTGCCAGAGACAGTTTTAATGTTTTAGAAACAGATGACCTCACAGTGACATTCCAGCCAGTCAGCACACAGCAGAATCCGTGTACCCATTTGTGTTTTTAAAGACAGTCAGTGTGTTTGATTGGTGATTGGATAAGATCTTACTCTGTCCTCATCGATTTCTTGCTGAATCAAACCTCCAGGCTCACCACTTGGCAGCCATCTTGAAAAACCTGTGGGCTCTTATGCTCATGGTTATTCTGAAGCTTTCTTTTACTTTTTCAGTAGGTCATATAAAATACAATGTTTATAAATAAAATATATCCTTTTTCTGAACCCTCAGTCATTGTTACTGAACCCTGACAGGTTCGTGTCCCTTTCTGATGATGTCATATTCTTACTCTAAAGGGTTCATTTAAAGCAGCTGCTCACAGATGAAGAGTCTGCCACCTTGGGGCCAGTCTTTGACTTTCAGATTAAAAGATGTACGATTTAAATTTTTACTTTGAAACTAAGAAGCAAAGTTAAGTTGATTGTTAATAAAATATATCAGAATTGCCTGATTCAGTTTCTTTCTTCATCAGATGTCAGCTGACATGTCACTGGTGTTTTTTAATAATTAAAAAAAAAAAAACTTTCATATTACAGGATGTCTCACCTGGATTTGTTTGACACCTAGTTGTAATAAGAAGTAAGTTTTTTTTCAGCTGGTTTCTCTAATCTAACATCATCAGTCAGGACAGGAGGTCACATGAAATTGGTTATCAGCTTAATAAATCAACCCAGGATTTATTAGTCTGGCTACAGCACATTCATATGAATGGGCTGGTGTTGGCAGCACGTTGTAGAGACATGCACAGGTGTGCTGAGAACAGAGCAGCTGATTTTACTCAGAAACATAATTATAACAGTCCCCTCAAGGTGCTTCATATTGTAAGGTAAAGACCCTTTGATAAAATAGAGAAAACCTAAACAATCAGATGATCCTTGAGCAAGCACTTGGTGTGGCGGTGGAAAGGAAAAACTCTTTTAACAGGAAGAAATTTTCAGCAGAAACAGGCTCAGGGAGGAGCGGCCATCTGCTGGATTCTTCCACAGAAGAAGCTGAACTATGGACACGCACACACATACACTTACACTGATAAGCACTCACTCATCCCCCCTCCCTTTCCAACGCCTTCGATGCTTGTTGCCCCCTGGGAACACGAGGCGGGTCTGGGCCCGTGCTGGAAACGGCGCCGTTGCAGGATGGCTGCTGTGTTGCCTGGGGTTACTCCTTATCCCCTACCCATCCCTGTGGCTTGTCATGTCTTTGTCATGTCTTTACAGATTTAACTTAGAAATTTACAGTAAAAAAATGTGCAAATAGCAGAAAGAGATTATAAATTATAGGAAGTGTGCATGAAGAAAAACCAGAGTGCGTGTGGTGATGTGTGTGAGAGTCCAGTCTTATAGTGATGTAATGTGTGTGGGGAGAGTCCAGTCCTACACCTGGTTCAGGGCCCGAATCGAATAGCCTGGGGGAAGAAGCTCCTCCTCATTCTCTCTGTTTTGGCCTTAAGGGAGCGGAAGCGCTTCCCAGACCTCAACAGTGAGAAGAGTCCATTGTTGGGATGGGAGATCTTGATGAGAGGATCTTGTTGCTCCCTGAAGCATCCATCTGAGGATGAATGAGTGAACATTTGAAAGCACTTAAAAACAGCATTAAAAAGTGCTTGGGTGAATGAGGCAAGTTGGGTAAAGCACTTGGTGTGCTCAGGTACAGTAGACAAGTCCCATATAAGAACCTGTACATTAACCATTATGATAAGGTGGAGCCTGATTATTTTAGACCTTTGTATGTAAGGAACAATTTTAAATTTGATTCTGGATTTAACATGGAGCCAACGAAGAGAAGCTGGTATGGGAGACATATGGCTCTCTTTCTCAGTGCAAATATTTTTTATTTAATGTGCACACTGAAGGACATAGCCTGGTCAAAAACAACTCCAAAATTCCTCACAGTGTTACTGGAGGCCAATTTAATGCCATCCAGTGTAGAACAAATGGTCAAATAATGCTTATGGAACAATAAAAATGGTTTACAGTGCAAAGAAACACAGAGCTGTGTCTAAGTGTCGTCAAATCAACACAAAGACTTCAGATGGTTTGGAAAAATTTCAGACTTTCCTACAGCTCACAAATAGCCTGGATCTTCCTGGAATGGATGTCGTTTTTAGGAGCAGTGATTTGAACACTATCAGGGCTGCATCATCTTGATGCATACTCAATCATCCAGGTAAGTAAATCTCTCAAATTGATTCAGTTCATCTGGACGTAGCGTTTTGTGGGAGAAACGTTTTGTCAATCATCCAAGTGACTTCTTCAGCCTCAGCTGACTGCAGGTTTCCCCAATCCTATAAACATAAGTGCCAGGATTTATACATCGGGGAAACCAAACAACCTCTGGCAAAGCGGATGGCACAACACAGAAGAGCTACCTCGTCAGGCCAGGACTCTGCAGTCTATTTACACCTACAGGCCAGTGGACACTCTTTCAATGATGAGGATGTACACATCCTGGACAGGGAGGAACGCTGGTTTGAGCACGGAGTAAAGGAGGCCATTTACGTGAAAAGGGAAAGACCATCTCTGAATTGAGGAGGGGGTCTAAGGATACATCTTTCGCCATCTTACAATGCTGTGATTGCAGCCATTCCCCAACTCTCTGTGAATGGTACTCATGGCCATTGATCAGTCGTCTTTGAGCAGTGGTTGTTGATCAATGGTCATGAGAATTTGCATAATTATGATGAAGGTGACCTCCCAGCCCATTGTTCCTTCAGTGGGCTGGTTTCAGTCATTATGCAAATGTACTGTTTATAAGATTGGGGAAACCTGCAGTCAGCTGAGACAAGAAGTCACTTGGATGAGTGACGAAACGTTTCTCCCACAAACCGCTACGTCCAGATGAACAGAATCAACTTTTGGAGATATCAGGGCTGCAGCTTAAAGAGTAAAGCGTGTCACAAACTATATACATTTTTTTCTTATTAATTTAACGGAGCTTAACTACAGTCAGAGACTTCCGTGTCCAAATGATGGTGGCTTAACAGATGACTGGGTAAGTACAGATAAAGTGCTGGGGGAAACTGCTATGAAGGTGTTTGTAGTATCCTTTGGACAGAAGAAAGAGGGCAAGGAGAACTGGTGGAGGAATAAGGAAGTACAGGGAACTATTCAAAGGAAAAAAGTGGCATCATTAGGGAGATGAAAAAAGGAAATGGCAATGGCCTGTATTTGTATAGCGCTTTACTAGTCCTTAAGGACCCCAAAGTGCTTTACACATCCAGTCATCCATCCATTCACACACAGGTGATGGCAAGCTACACAGCCACCCTGGAGCGCACTGACAGAGGCGAGGCTGCCGGACACTGACGCCACCGGGCGGCAAATTGCTGAACATTTTCTTTGATTTTGAAAAAAACTTTCTGTTTGGCTTTACAGAAAACTGTACAGATCTACAAAAGTAGCCTGATAAGGCCTATATAATTGACCTGATTATTATTATGGCTAAGTTCTATATACATAAGTGTAGTGTGTGTGGCGCTTAAACAATCCAGCCCTTTAAACTGCTCTTTGCATAGATTTTAAGAAGTTACAAATTTTATTCATTTTTGTTTGACTTGTTTTTACTAAGCAGATTGCAACATTCTTGAGTATTACCAAAAATTGCAATTTACAAGAGTGTTGTACCAGCACATGCAAAGCAGACACTTTCCATGCGCGATGGTTTCTTTGTGCGCTCGTTGGATTTAAGTGCGAGGAAATTAATCGCACCGCGAAATGAAATTATTTTCGGATAAAAAAAATTTGCGCATTTATTAAGGCATAACTATAACTGCATACATTTTGTAGAGGTCATAGGAGAAGCTGTGACAGTTTGTCCTGAAACAACAACAGCGATCTCCACGCTTTGAGTTTAATCTCGAAATTCCGACTTTATTCTCAAAATGATCAATAATATTTTTGTCTTACTCATTCACACATCAGGTATATGCATTCATGTAATGTTTAACAAACACTTTCAATTTAAAAAAACAAAACAAAAAACAAAACCCACCGACTCTCTGGTGTGACGCAAATATGACGTGCACAAACCCGGAAGCGGCTGAAAGCGCACGCGTCTTTCTCGCGGAGCACAGTGAGTTATTTTTCTCTAAAACTTTGGTCGTTAATTCAAGTTAGTCTCGGTGTTATCCATTAGATTAGTGTCGACTGGAATATCACATTCAGCCACTGTGCTAGCTGTTTCCGGTTTATCTCTGAACACACACCGACATCTGTTAGCTCTTAGCAGCCGCGGCTAACGGTCAGTTTACAGTCAGTAGCAGCTTCCGGTCACTGATGGAAGGTGAGAGTGAGCAGCTTTGGGTCGTATCCGATTTTAACCTGGTCACATCCAGATTTAACCCGTTTTATCCACGGAGTAAAAAGAGTCAAATAGCGCCTTAAAGTTTCAGAAGGAAACGCATCCTCGACCCCTTTAGTCTCATTGCTTCAGTAAACACTCGAGTCCTGTTTGTGACTCTGCAATATTAAATCCTGTGACGGCACACTGCACAAATACTCGTCTTTTTTTGCACAGAGGCCGGGGGGGTGGAAGGAAGGAAAACCGCAAAGGAGGTTCATAGATGTAGTGAAGGAGGACATGCAGAGGGAGATTAAGGCAGATGAGCCGCTGTTAGAGTCCCCTGGGGAGCAGCGAAAACAAGAAGGCGGCAGGCTTACTGCATCCTACAGTTTTCCAAACCAAATTAGTACAAAGGTGGAAGTAAGCACACACCACCAAAGAACATCACCCATCAATTTAACTTAGGTCAGGCCCAGGGTAGCATCAATATGTGACCCAGTGGCCATACAACAGTCTGCCCTGAAACAGTCCTGCATCCATCACTGTAAACTGCATTACAACATGGTGACAACCCAGTTTAACCTGCACTTACAGTTCTATGTAACCTTTGAAATTCCATCCATCCATCCATTCGCTTCCGCTTATCCTTTTCAGGGTCGCGGGAGCCTATCCCAGCTGTCATAGGGCGAGAGGCAGGGTACACCCTGGACAGGTCGCCAGTCTGTCGCAGGGCTAACACACAGGGACAGACAACCATTCGCACTCACATTCATTCGCACATTCACACCTAGTGACAATTTGGATTTTCCAATTAACCTATCCCCACAAGCTGCATGTCTTTGGACGGTGGGAGGAAGCCGGAGTACCCGGAGGGAACCCACGCAAACACGGGGAGAACATGCAAACTCCACACAGAAAGACCCCGGCCTGGTGTTGGAATTGAACTCAGGACCTTCTTGCTGTGCGGCAACAGTGCTAACCACCGTGCCACCTTTGAAATTTTTGTTTTTAATTAGTTTGATTGACCCAACATGTAGGCTTTAAATTTCCAACTTCTGAAAGGTCACTGAGCAGTTTTATCATTAAAAATGTTAAATCAAGTTCCAAATTATATCAGATTGTTAAGACAGATACCTCTATTTGGTGATCTGAAAATGCAATATTTTAGTCAATTTTTTTTTTAACAAAACTTAAAACTTTCTTTAACATATCTCTAATATTTATTATGTGTAGTTATTTATGAGAAATTTCATTATAGAAAACTCCGATACCAATCAGGACCATCAGACTGTAGCGCATAAGCAGTGATTAATACATTGTAGTTTTTGACATCATAATGTATTACTCTCCCTTTTGGATATAACGGGTTATTAAAAAAGGTAAATGGATCACGTTCGGCATTGTTCAGTCAAGCTGACATCACTAATTCTCAATAAACTCAACATAAAGCTTCATCAGCTCAAACTGATATTGTTTTTCTCTCTCCTCCTCTTCCTCCTCTTTTTTTTTCTTACATGGAGCTTCAGTCTCGTCAGACAGAAACGATGGAGGAGGCAACACAGACCAGAGGAGCTCAGCAAGAAGAGAACTCGGGGATGAAGAGGAAGCATGTTGAAGATGAAGAAGAGAAGATGTCACCTAGCAAGAAGCAGGTTGTCAAGTTCATTTTTTTAAATATTTTTTTAAAGCAGTTGTCTGAAGGCTCTTCATGTTGTGAGATGAAGTGTCGGTTTGATGTGAGAGGATCAGACAGCACTTTTAAAACTATTTGCTAAAAATATATATAGTTTAGAAGTTTAGGATAATTTGGAAAACATTTGTAAACTCAGTGAACAACCTAACATATTTAAAAACTCAAATGTCTTCAGTGTTTTACGGTCTGTACTTTACAATATAAAGCACCTTGAAGCAACTTTTGCTCTGATGGTGCATGAAAATAAATATGGACTGAACTTTCTATGCTATTCTGTGAGACTGCCTGAGGGAAAACATGCATAATGTTAAGAGTATCAGTTAACCTTAGTGTGTGAAGAGGACTCTGTTAGATTGAATTGATTCAAACCACTACAGCGCAGTACCTTTAACACCTACAGCATGCTCTAATCGCTGTAATAAAATATTATTGTCAACAATATTGAATAAAGGACTGAGGCCTAGCAGGAAAGGCACAGAATGAGTCCACCCTCAGAGGCCATAAGACACAAAGTTTGTAACTTTCACTAAAGCTGTTTCTGTACTGTGATGATCTCTGAAACCTGACTGAAACTTTTAGTTAAACCATCCCTCTGCAGATGATCAGTTAGCTGTTTTACATCTACTCTTTCAAGAATGTTTGAGATAAAAGGTCAAGTGGCGGCTTTAAGTAACAGTTTAACTACTGCCAGCTTGAAGAGATGGGTTGATCATATTTAAGATTTATAATTTTTGGACTTCTTTGAGCAGTCTTGTAGGAACGAGGTTTGATTGACACGTTGTTGATTTGGAGGAAGTTATTATTGAAGTTAATTCGGAAAGATCAGGCAGACAAAAACAATCTAAATATTTATCAGCAGGTATTAAAGCTGCTGTGAGGCTGTCTTCCTTATTAGTGATCCCTATAATTGATCTCTCAGGTGCTTGATCACGGTGTGAAGGTGGCAAGTCACTACAACCAGCTGCAGGAAGTTGGCCGGGCAGCTCGTAGCAGAAGCCGAATCTTCTTCATGAGGAACTTCAACAACTGGCTGAAGAGTGTTCTAATTGGTAACTGGCTTCTGATCAACACACCACACTTCCTCAGTTTTAACATATCCATAGTGATCTGTAAGCAATTAACACCCATCCGGCAATCGCATGCATAATAACATGAGAGCGTAGTTTTGTTTTTGTTTATTTTTTGCTATAAGTTGTCTCTAGGGCCAAACATCAGATCCAACATTTAGAAAGCTGATTATCAGAACAAAATGACAATGCAGTGATAATACCAGTCACTAATACAGATTATTGGCCTTTTATGTTTCATTTGGCAGCCTGTTGTCGTCATGCTGATTAATGACCTTCATCCTTTAAAAAAAGTGTTTTATAAATGATCAGAAACTTTTAAAAAACAGATTTAATAGATTTAACTAAAATAAATGGTTAAACCTTGCAAAGGGGCTGGTGTAAACTTTTTACAGGAAGCCAGTTTATTGTTTTTATTTTCACATGGACCAGAGAACAGTTTTATCGAACAGAGAAAGGGACTGATTATTTTATTTAAAAAGGTTTGCCTTTATGTTTCACCTGTGCCTTGTATGAACATAGAGGTGACTGTAGTTTAGGAGGTCATCTACTAATCATAAGGCTGTTGATTCCAAAACTGGCTGCTCCAGTTTGTGTGCCAAGATGTCAAATTCAAATTCAAATTCAAATTCAAATTTTATTTGTCACGTACACAGTCATACACAGTACGATATGCAGTGAAATGCTTGGACAACTGCTTGTGACCTAAAGAAAACAAAAAAGGAAAAGGCTATGAATAAGATAGGAAATAAATATGAAAAATTAAAAAGGGTAAATTTAACTAGGAAGGAATAAAATATAAATTAAGGTTAAAAATGAAATAACTGTACAACAAAATACACAATATAGAACTATATAAGAATGTATGAAGAAATCTAAATCTAAATAAATATATACACAATAACAGCAGCTGTACAAGTATTAACCGGAAATGAAGAATATAGTGACCAGTGTTGTGCAAAAACAAAGTCCAGAATGTCCAGTGTGTGTGTAAGAACCATATGTGTGGGTCAGTACTGTGTGGTGGTGTGATTGAGAGACTGTATCGCCTGCGGGAAGAAGCTCCTCCTCAGTCTCTCTGTGTTGGTCTTCAGGGAGCAGAATCGCTTTCCTGACCTCAACAGAGAGAACAGTCTGTTGTTGGGATGGCTGAGGTCCTTCACGATCTTCCTGGCCTTGGTCCAGCACCGCCTGCTGTAGATTGAGTGCAGGTCAGGGAGCTCGGAGCGGATGGTGCGCTCAGCTGACCGCACAACCCTCTGTAGAGCTCGTCTGTCCTGCATGGTGCTGTTCCCGAACCAGGTTAAGATGTTTCCCGTCAGGATGCTCTCTATGGTGCAGGAGTAAAAGTTCCTGAGCACCTTGGAGGGCAGTTGGAAGTCTCTCAAGCGTCTGAGGTGGTAGAGACGCTGACGGGCCTTTTTCACCACGGTGTTGATGTGACAGGACCATGACAGGTCCTGCGTGATGTGAACTCCGAGGTATTTGAAGCTGTCCACTCTCTCCACTGGGCACTCATTGATGACAGGGGTCTGGTAGTTCCTCTCCTGCTTAGTGCTGAAGTCCACTATCAGCTCCTTTGTCTTACTGACGTTTAGAAGGAGGTTGTTCCTCTGGCACCAGTTCTCCAGATTCCTAATCTCCTTCAGGTAGGCCGTCTCGTTGTTATCAGAGATCAGGCCCACCACGACGGTGTCGTCAGCAAACTTGATGATGGTGGTGGAGCTGGTAGTGGCCACACAGTCATATGTGTACAAAGAGTACAGCAGGGGGCTCAGAACACACCCCTGGGGGGCTCCAGTGCTGAGAGTGGTGGAGGCTGAGACATGTCCGCCCATCCTTACTGTCCTTGGGCAAGATGCTGAACCATGACTTTCATGGGAGTGTGACGCTGTGTATGAATGTTAGATTAAATGCACTTACAAGCACTTTTTTCTATGTCTATGATTGGTGTGAATGGATGAGACATGTTATATGAAACACTTTGAGTGCTCGAGTAGAAAAAGACTATAAAAGGACGCTTTTCTATTTGCCATCCTGTAACACAAAGGACCTGCGCAGACAGCATTGTAAGTTGAGTGATTGTTTTATTTTTAGTAGTCTTTTTTGCTTTTGGTATGACTCTTCTATTACTCCCATTTTCAGCATTTCAGCCAATTCCTTCTGAGCAATTTGTCTTGTGTGTTCAAGTATCTGGTAGTGAATGCACCATCACACTAGAGTGTGCTATTTGGACTATTTGGACACCCCGCCTCTATTTGAACCTGCTGCTCCACCCCTCCATTGCAGCTGAGCCACAAACCACCCTCTCAGTAAAGGTGTAGCCTAGTTGTTTTTTTTTTAAGGTAAATAATAAAAGTCATCCTTTGTGATGATAATAAATAATTATTACCTTCACCTCTTCTGAGTCTCTCCTCCATGGTGTGCTGGAGCTGGTCATTCTGGTTCTGCTCATGAACCAGATCTCTGAGTGATCCTCTTGAACTGAACTAGGACTACCATCACCAGCTACAGTCCAACACTGGGGGAAGAATAATTTTTATTCCGAGTCTACTGGACTGTATTTTAACCATTTTTATAAACTTTTTACTTTTTATTCTTTCACCATTTAATAATTATTTATATTTTTTTCTGATTTTACCTATTTTCTTTCTGCAGCACCTTGTGTGGAAGCAACTTTAAAAATAAAATATTTACATCCTCTTACAGTTTAGTGTCTTTTTCTATTGACAGGTGAGATCTTGGAGCAGGTAAGAGGGGCGGGATCTCAGCAGGTGTCTGTGTTGGACCTTGGTTGTGGAAAAGGAGGAGACCTACTGAAGTGGAGAAGAGGAGGAATCGATCACCTGGTCTGTGCAGGTATTGATTCATTGATTTTTATGGTTTATGAAACTTGACATCACATTTCTACAGACTCTTTTCATGCCTATACAGCTTTAAGGACTGTAAAGGACCAGCAGTGAAATCTTCCTCTAAAGACGCACCTCGTCCTGCTGTTTAACCTGAAACAGTCAATGTTAACTTTGTGTAAAATCAAATCTGCCATCCATCCATCCATCCATCCATCCATCCATCCATCCTCCCTCCCTCTTCTGTTTGACTGGGTGGTTCTTCACATGAGCACAGACGACAGTCAGGACCCTTTCCCCAATCTGAAGGCGTAGGGAAACAACACTCTCGCTCACAAAAACCCCCGGGGGACAGGAGCAAACTGAGGGCATACAAAAATACCCACCGCCTGCCTGCCTCTTTCTCAGTAAGAGAAAGAGGCAGGTGCCGTCCCTCACTGACTGGGACAGAGTCCAGATTCTCTCCAGGACACTGGTTCCAGTTCCCAAACTGTGCAATGACGTGACCCCAACTATATCTAGTCAGTGTCCCTAAACCTCACACTCTAGCTCAGGCTCCTTCCAAACCAGAGAGGACAGGTTCCACATCCCTGTAGCCAGCTTTGATAGCTGGGTATCGGGCTATCAGGGCCCTCGCCCTTGACTGCCACCTGACACACAATATACCTGACCACGACGGTATCTGCTACAGGTAGTGGGCCCAAGGCGTGGCCACCAGTTGCTCTTTGTCAAGCTCCCTACCAAGCCTGGCTTCAGGGTGAGGAGAAATAACCCTGGAGTAACCCAATCTTGTGCAGGTTACTCAGGTGTCTTGCTCTTTTTTTTCTCATGGGAGTCTAATGAATTGCTTTCATCCAGGACCAATTTGCCTTGGGAGAGACCTACCAGGGGACAAAGAAAAGGATAGCTGCTGGGACTACTGGGGCACACAAACCTCTCCATAGCAGTAAAGTGGTGGCATTGAATTGAAATGAATTATGCCAAACAACACAGAGATCAAATGAGAGCACCTGCCACAAAATCTCACCTATGTATGAGCTAATACTTGTGCTTCACTTTTGACTTAAGTAACTGGCACTCGGTCCTCTGTAACTGGTCATCACGTCAATTCAGTTCAGTGTTATTTACATTGGATTAAAAAAAATGTGTTTTATATTTACTTAGAATTTTTTCTAAGTAAATATATTTCTACAGATGCCATTGACATGAAATGTCACATGAAATGGAGCAATCCACTCAATGATTCCAAGAAGGCTGTGTACCAGGTTTTAGATGTGTCCTTGATAAACACAGCTAGGCCTGATAATGAACTAATCATTTGATTCAGATGTGTTGACCCAGGTTGAGATCTTAAACCTGAAGGACACCAGCCCCTGAGGCCTGGAGATGGACACCCCTGCTGTATACTCTAAGCTTATGTACTGTTATTCAGTTCATAAGCACAAACGACAGTCAGAACCTTCTCATCCACCACCGAAAACATACTGGAAACAAACTGAGGGGATACAAAAATACCCACCCCTGCACCCAGCTGCAACCGTACCTCCTGGGGGCGGTGGATCGACTGGAGGGTGGCCCATATCATCTCTTGCCTCTATAACTGCCCCTCAGCTCAAAAGGCATTACAATTGAGATTAATTGTTGCATGTTGCTGGAGATTTTTGATGATTAAACATAGATGTTTATTTTCAGATATTGCAGGGGTTTCTGTGGAACAATGTCAGATTCGTTATGACGAGATGAAAAAAAAGAGTCACCGTAACGAGAAAATCTTCACTGCTGAATTCATCACGGCAGACTGTTCAAAGGTAGACCTGCAGCACACAAAAAATAAGTCGAGTATTCTGTGATAAAAGTGAATATATGAAATCAGAATTAAGTAGAGAATAAAAGTGAGGTTTTTCTCAGTCTGGATTGTTTGATTTGTTACTGACCTTTTATCTCTACCTACAGGAGTTGTTGTCAGAGAAACTGGATGATGCTGAGCTTATGTTCGACATCTGCAGCTGTCAGTTTGTGTATCATTACTCATTTGAGAGTGAGCAGAAGGCTAATATGATGCTGAGAAATGCCTGTGAGCGTCTTAAACCTGGAGGGTACTTCATCGGTACAACGCCAGATGCCTTTGAACTTGTGTAAGATAAACAATTAAGTGTAATGAAAGGCGCTTTTTTATGGGAAATTGTTTATAGTCACATCTGTCCACATGTCAGGTGGACAACCTTCTTCACCTAAGCCACATGATCCTATTAGGTGAAGCAGGTTGTCCACCTGGCGTTGGAGCTATGAAAACTCCAAGTATTAAGATAAGCTTAATACTTGGAGTTTTTATAGCATTTTTCCATTAGTACCGTCTCTGTGTAGCTTGGCTCAACCGGACTTTGTCACTTTTCATTATAAACGAGTACCATGTAATGTGCGTGGGGTCATTACAGCAAGGATCTGAGGCTGGA